TCAGTTTCAGCAGCGGCTGAATCTGGACGCCAGTTCCGACTTACATACAGATTCAACTTAAGAACAAACCTACAGTCCCTATCTTGTATGTAACCCCGGGGACTGCCTGTATTATGTCTTTTAGCTTAAAATCTGTCAGGTTGTTTATAGTGGTTTCTGGACCTTGAGCAGACATAAGCTATGTGACCATTGTGTTCTTGCTTGCCCATGAGACCTCCCTGGTCTGGCTCCTGACTAGTCATAAATGAGGCAATTTTCTGGGTCAGGGAAGGCCCCCTACCCTCGGCTTCTGAGCACATTGCCCCTCCCTGCAACTGGCTCTGCACTAAACCCACTGAGCTCCTGCCCTTTTTGTCTCCCACCCAGCCAGGGCTCCCTAGGGATGGGGCTTGCCAGTTACCACCAGTCCCGTTTGTCCCCCACCCAGATGGGGCTTACCAGTGGTCCCATTGCTGCCCCACCTGGCCAGGGCTTCGTGAGGATGGGGCTCGCCGGTGGCCCTGCTGCTGTCTGCCCAGACTGGGTCTCCCTGCTATTGGACTCAAGATGTTGCTGAACCAGAGAGTCCCAGATTTAGGAGGTTCACTTTGTAAAGATTTTTCAACCCAAATTACCACCACAGCTAGTGAAATTACTGTATTTTTTTTAACTGTAGTTCAGTCTCAGAACACTGATCCTTTGAAGTCAAAACAGCAATTGGACCTGGAGCGTGCCCATTTCCTGGTTACACAGGCTTTTGATGAAGATGATAAAGGCAATGCAGAAGAAGCTATAGAACTGTACACAGAAGCAGTGGATCTCTGTTTGAAAACAGTATGTTATGCTACAAGTTAACTTGGTGGAATTATGTTTTGGTAAGAAATTCTTCCATTTGCACAGGCAACTGATCTTTAAAGGCTGGCTTAAAAATGTAGTACCTGTATTTTTATTTTTTTATTTATTTTTATTTTTGGTGTTTTATTTGCCTTCTGTTCTCTACATCTCATTGAAAAATACTTTGCCTGCATTGGCTACAATCACTTGATCCTACACTGTTCTTCAACAGTGTAAAATTGAAATGTGGCTTTCTTTTAAAAATGTTGTGTATACAAAGTGTGTAAGTTTACTGGAATGTTCTTTCGAAATCTATAACCTGAGGCCAATAGAAAGCTGCAAGAGTTTAGAGCTTAATTCTTCTCCCAAGAAGATGGTCCAAACTAATAGTTAAAAAAAACCTCTATCCAATGCAGTAAAGGCCATTTTTAAGTAACACTTAAGTATTCTTACATATTTTTACTAATCCTTTATGACATTAAAACTGTACAAATTAATCCCAATTAAAATAGAAAAAATAATTTCTTAATTACTTTTAATATGTAAGTGTTACTAAATAATATTACTGTACAGGTACTGCTTTTTTCATACTAAGTCCAGTAGCCAAAACTAACTCATTTGAGGAAGAGCTCACCATCATGATGTAACTCCACCAAGTCGGATTATCTTCTTCTTCTGCCCATTCTTTGTAATGTGATATATTGGGAGGGTAACAATATTAATTCTCAAGATAATATTTACATAATATTTTAAAACATTTGGTCTGAATCTTGCAAATGCTTATGCATGGGCATGACTCTCACTTAGCTAAACAGTTCCACTGAAGTTAAAGGGACTGCATAAGCTGTGAAGTTTAACACTTGCGTTTGGGTTTGCAGGATCAGGGTCAAATCAAAGTCTAATTTTTTTCCCCTTTGATTTGTTGACCCTGAGCTCTTTCTGCTTCAGTGGGTATTCATCAGACAGTAAAACCTGTGCTCTCCAAAACTTAAGCATCTGAAAAACAGTAGAAACTGGCAAATTTCTGACACTGGGAAGAGCAAAAAAAAAAAAAAAAAGGAAAGTGTCCCTTTAAGTGCCAGGCTGCTCCTCAGACGAGCGTGCAGCACATACCTAGGGGAGGGGCGAACGGCAGCCGGAAGGAAGCAGCAAGCATTGTTGCTCCTGCCAGCATGCCTCCCCCTCCATCTCTGCCTCCTGCTTCCCCGGCTTACACGTTTCTCTCCCCCACCCCCCCACCCCAAAACAGGCCTCATCCTGCACGGCTCCCATCCCCGCCTCAGATAACCAGAATTTTTAGGTTACCGATACCCCCCTAAACTCCGGGTGTGCCAGAAAACACAGGTTTTACTGTATATCTCTTTTTCTTTGCTGGATCCTGCTCTCTCTTGTTACCATGCTGTGCTATATATCTTGAGGTTAAATATTGTGCGTACAGTTAATATCATTTTTAACCATTCTTCTCATGTGGGTGTCTCATTAGATGCAATTGGTGCCCAAGTTTCCCTTCACCTTGGGCAATCTGTTGCTTTAGCAAGGTGATGGTTTTATGCTTTTGGCATTACAGACAGTGCGAAAAGGTTCCTTTCTCCCTCTGTAACACAGTCCATATAAGCCATCCCTTCACTCTCTTAGCTGCAGTGGTTCTGTCTAGTTCCTTAGCTGTAGAACTTATTGCCTACCATGTCCAGGTGGAGAAACCAACCTGTTCCTCTACCCGGCCATATGCAGGAAACCATCATCTGTTCCAGCCTGATAATTCCATTCCTTGCTTCTCCCAGGGTCTCTTCTACCTTGCTCTCTACCCCACCCACAACCTTCACTAGGTCTATTCCAAGCCCCTTCCAGCTGGGAAAAATGGAAACGAAGAGTTTTTAAAAAATGGAAGAAAGTCTTCTGCTTTCTTTAATTTTTGTCGTATGTTTCTCTGATTTGGGGAGGGAGAGTGTCAAAAATTCAGTAGGAAAACTTGAAGGGATATGCTCAAATTAATGTTTTAATGTGATATTTTTAACTGTGTTTTCCCTCTGTAGATTTTAACTTATTTCTCTTCAGCATTCGGTGTGAATTCAGTGCTTCCTGTGCTGAAAAATTTAAAACAGTACCTTGCAATCTAACACACTCTGCATACCCACTATAATGAGGAAGCAGGTTTATTTATCTTTGTATGTGAAGTTTTGCATTTTTTTTAATCTCCATGTAGGAAGTATTGACTAGTTTCCAAAAAGACAAATTTGGAGGAATTCTGAGGTTAAAGTGTGTAGGGGAATAATAAATAGTGGATATTTGGAAGTGTGACTTGTACATTTTGAATTACGTTGACAGATAAGGTTTACGATACTGGCTATTTTTTTTTTCTGTTAAGGCTAATGAAACTTCAGATGCAGTCCTTCAATCAAAACTCAGACAGCTGGCTCGAAAAGCACTGGATAGGTGAGTAATTACAAAATACTCACGCAAACCATTGGTAACAAGTTACAATGCATACTTTGGGTTAAGTTCTCTGGTCCATTCTGACCATTTTGTGTTGCTCAGGTAGCACAAAGTAAGAGAGCTCCCCACTGGCATAAAACTGACAGAAGCCGCTCCTATGTCTACTGCTCCAGGGGTCTGGTGATACGCTGGAGTAGGTAGAGGACAGGACAAGAGTGGAGTTTCATGAAGTCAGTTCTCTGCTGATACTAGGTCAGTTAGGTCTCCAGCAATGTAAACTGGAGCAGCACTTAGACTACTCTGATGTTGGGGTCAAGCCAGCATGGATTCAACCTCTCTCTTGCACAGAGTGGAGCTTTGATGCAGGAGAAAATCAAACCCTTTAATCTGTATGTATATCAGTATGTATATAGGTTGAACCTCTCTAGTACGGCGCCCTCAGCACTGATCAGTGCCAAACCAGAGAATTTGCTGAACCTCAGGAGGCCAGTATTGTCAAACAGCATTACCAACATTTCCATTGCTTACTGGGCTCTTAGAAGACATTTGGAGTAAATGAGAGCTAAATAACAGCACAGAACACTTGAGAGCCAGGACTGGGGGCTGTAAACAAACTTGATGGGATGGCAGGAAACTTAGCTGGATGTCCACTTCTTATCATAGACGTGTCCAACTTAAAATCATGCCAGAACAGAGAATGCTGGAGTAAAGCCATTCAATCTCTAGTTGATTTACTGGGCTAGATTCCAATCTCTGTTATACAGGTATAAATCCAGAATAATGTTGTGTAAATCAGTGTAAAATATGGTGTATAGTGTGTTGAATTCTTGCGGGTATTACTTCTACACGCATGTCCAGCTCAACGTGATAAATTAAGTCTCTTCATATCCACATGAATAGTGAACAACTTATTTGATTTTTATTTTAATGTGTGGTTTCCAAAACATACATTCTCTCACACATCCTCCAAGTAGCATAATTTTAAAAGGGACAGAAACTTGAAAATTAATTATGCCTCAATTGTTTTATAAGCAAATTACTTTTGTAGTATTTTTTGCCGTCCTTAGAACAGTGGAAAGTAGAGGGAGATGCTGGCATTTCTCCTCTAAATGGAGTGGATTCTGTAGCAAGAGCAAAATAGATGATTTTGTTTGACAATCATAATTACATAAAAGAACGAACAAGCAATTAAAAATTAAACCATACAATAATCCTAAAATATTTTTTTTAGAGCAGAGGCACTGAAAGAATCTAAGTCAAAGTCATCTCAGAAAGACAAACAAACTGCAGCTAAACCAAATCAGCCAGTCAGAATGTTCTTCCCATTGGGTCCTGATTTTTCCTTGAATGATAAACCACAGACAGTCAAAGCAGTGCAAGCCAGTGAATCTCATGGTCAGAGATATACTGCAGAAGAGATTGAAGTGCTCAGGTAAGATTGGGTCCAATTTTCCCTAAGTTTATTATCCATGTAAATCTAGTGCAGAACACTGGATTGAGACAAATTGGGTTTTGTGAGGGGAATGAGGGCTGGATGGTTTTGGTTTAATTTTGTTGGTTTTTAAGGAGGTAGGAGAAATATTTCTATAGCACTCATTAATTACCAGAGTACAGTAGAACCTCAGAGTTACGTACACATTGGGAATGGAGCTTTTTCATAATTTTGAAATGTTTGTAGCTTTGAACAAAATATTATTGTTCTTTAAAAGCTTACAACTGAACATTGGCTTAATACAGCTTTGAAACATCATTATGCAGAAAAAATACAGGCAAAGCAGCATTTTTTATTTTAGTACTTGACATTTTACACAGTATGTACTGTTGGGAACTAAGGTGGTGGTTTTTTTTTTTTTTTTTTTTTTTTTTAATTCGCTGCTGCTGCCTGATTATATTATTTCCAGTTTGAAATGAAGAGTGGCTGACTGGTCAGATTGTAACTCTGAGGTTCTACTATATCTGGAAGCTCTCTCACATGCCAATAAATCTTTGTAAGTGAACACAGATGACTCAGACAGCATTCTTTGTAAGGTGTATTTTATAGAGAATTATTCTAATTTCTTTCTATTATCTTAGTTTATTGATTTATTTTTTTTTAGTGCAATATAAAACATAGATGCCAAACATTTCTTACCTGAATGAGTGTATATCTATGGGCCTGATCCTGTGAGCTGCAGAAATCCTCGTTATCTCAACTAAAATGGACTTCAGTGGGAAGGGTGTTTAACCTTTTGTAGGATTGAGCGTTGGGGCCCATTCCTTGCGTTTGACATTGATGGGAGTAGGATCAGACACATAAATTGTACATGCTTTGGTGTTCAACAATTAATAGATAATATCCCAAGTTCAAATTATAAATATTGAAAACTCCATCAAATGCATCTTATGTTCTGTCTATAGTGACCCACAGTGTGGACTTCTGGAATAAGACTACAATTCTGCACTGTAACTCTTCTGGGTGGATGCCGTATTTGCAAATTAAAAGAACCCTCCTTTTGTTAATGTAGTCTAGTTGGAAGAGGCTTGCATTAACATGAACCAGGAACTTTTTAGTTAGCACCCACAGCAGTCTCATGAGAGAGTCACAGCATAGCACTTTGGGTGCTGCTATTCATATCTCCAAAGTCCAAACTGTGGGGCAGTGCAGTGTAGAAAAATCTTTCCAAAGGATGCTGTCCAGAGAAGTATTCTGCTTTCATTGTCAAATAGATACTAGAGTGTAAGATTTAAGTCAAAGTTAGCAGTGCCTACCACTGAGCAGGATTGAATCCTAAAAACTTAAACCCTGATCTAAAAATCCACTGAGAACAATGAGATTCTTTCCACTGGTTTCAATGGGCTTTGGATCATAAATGTTTGTACAGGAAAAGTTATGCAGTTGTATGAACACGTTTCCTTTTAAAAACAAGTTTGCTTTTTTAATTGTGACTGATACTTGTGAAATATAAACCTTTTTTAAGCTTCATAGAGAAATTCAAATTGCTTTAGATCCTACATATCTTTTGTTTTGGAAAATGTTTTTTGACTACCTATTGTTCCGTAGTTGTCACTGAAACTTGTTATGATCACATCTGATTTGTACATATTTCTTGATTCTTCCTGATCTAAAATAGCCCTGATTTATAGTTCTGTCTGCACTTGACTATATCTTTGCAAATATACTTCTATCCAATGTTGTCATTTGTACCTTTGCTATTTGACTAACTGATCAAAAGTGAATGAATATGAAATTATAGTCACTTAAAAGTGCCATATCCATTGTTAGTTTGGGAAGCTCTTTTCAGTGAAATAACTGTGTGAAAACAGGACTGTAAAGACATAATTGAAAGTATTTTTAAATCATGTATTTTAAAGTCTTGGGCCTCAGTGCTATAGATGTGCAGACAGCAGATCATTGTACCTCTAGAGGGCCGTTGGTCTGCTATTGTGCATATCTTTGGAAGATTGGTGCCTAGCCCAGTAAGTACTCCATCTTTAGAGATGTAGAACTTGTAATTATTCCTTGTTTGAGGCATAACGTCACCAGTGCATCATTTCTTGAATTCTCTTTTTTTCCTTACCTTCATTGTTATTTCCTTGGTCTTGTGCTCTGGAGTATGATAAAACCAAATAGCTCTGAACATTAAAGTTACCACTTTGAAATTTACAATCATATTTTCATTTTATCGTGTGCAGAAAGACATCAAAGATAAATGGCATTGAGTATGTCCCATTCATGAGCGTTGACCTGCGGGAGCGTTTTGCCTTTCCAGTGCCATTTTCGTAAGTGAACATCAGTTACTCTAGTTACTTTTGCTTCATTTTTTCTCCGTTTTTCTGTCTTTTTTTTTTTTCTTTCCCCAAACTCCAAATTGTTCAAGTAGTAATTAAAGGTAGTAATTCAGCCTTTAATTGTTGCCAGCCACAGGAATGTGCCATTTACACCAAATTAATCTGACAGTAAAAGAGTGGTAACAGCAAAAACTGTTGAGTTGCATGTGAAGTTGGCTTAAAACTCAGCTATGATTTTCAAAGTGACTACATATTTGGGTGCTTACAAGTCTGGGTGCCCACTGGAGAAACCATAATTGAGTCTGACTTCCAGAAAGTGCTGAATTTCTTGCCTCTGAAAATCAGGCCTCATTAAAATGTCAGATTGGAAACCAAAAACTATCCATTACAGGCAGTCCGCCCGGGTTACGTACAAGATAGGGACTGTAGGTTTGTTCTTAAGTTGAATTTGTATGTAAGTCGGAACTGGCTTCCAGATTCAGCCGCTGCTGAAACTGACCAGCGGCTGACTACAGGAAGCCCGAGGCAGAGTTGCTCTGCCCTGGGCT